ATATAGTTACTTTATAGCTAATTACAAGTTAATTACTAGTAGTATTGAAGTTGCAAATTTTGCAAGTTTCAGTAAAGATATACAAATATAACAACCAAATAGTTATATGAAGCAAGAAGCTATAGAAAATTTGAAAAAAATTTAAAATAGCAGAACAAGCAAAAGAATAAATAGCTGCAATATATTAGAGTTTTAATCCATAAATTGTTTATCTATTTATTTATCAGATATCTGATATCTGATAATAATTGGATAAGATAAATTAAATAGATGAATATCTGAATACCGTAAAGTCCTGAATATAAGCAATCACCAAAAATAAGTAACCCCCGAAAATAAGCAACCCCTTAGATTTTACCATTAAAAAATAAAAAATAAAATAAGCAACCTCTTTTTTTAAAATTACTAAATATAATGAAATTTATTATATTATTAATCTTTATTAAAATTTTATTAATATTTGATTATAGTATAAACTTTATTAAACTTTTAACAATGTTCGATTACAGTATAATTTTTTAACAAAAATTATCTTAATCTACTAATTCTAATTCTTCAGCAGACAAACTATCTTCATCTACTATTTCAAGTAAATCTTCATTACTATCTAAATCACTATTCTTATTATCTAAATTATACAATAAATCTTTCTCTGTTGCATCCAATTTATTTGAAATACCACACTTTTTAAATGATTTAATAATCATCTCTGCAGAAATATTATTCTATGTTTCTAAAATCCATTGACAAATTAAACCATATGATGGTCATTTTAAATTTCTATGTTTAGTCAACTCAAATTCACTATTACTTATCTATAAACACCACATTCCTTTAATCTATCTTTGAATGGTTTATTAATGCTTACGTCTAAAGGTTGTACAATTGATGTTAAACCCTGAGAATAATAATCTTATAAATATTATTAATAGTGCACATATGTTTTACCATATCTGTTTGGTGTTTTTCAAATGAATTTATAACAAGCAAAGACAAAGGCTTGTTTATGCTTGATACTCCTGGCCGCTTGTTTCAAACTCGATTGATCTATTTACACATTAAATTTTCATCCATTTTCATGCATATGTACAATAATTCTGAGAGAAAGATCATTAAGCATTCGTACACCCTTAAAAATTACTATAGGAGGGAGTTTTTCACTACTTGCTGTAATTGCTAAAGCATAGGTAAACACATTTTTTTCATTTCCAGTTGTTCTAATTTGAACAGTTTTCGCACCCTTTTGATTAATTGTATAAAAACCTGTCAAAATATACTGATGTTTCATCTATGTTTACAATTTGAGAAAGATCATACTAATATTCTAATCAGAATCAAATTACAAATTTATGAAATTCAATAACTTTTTCAGTAAGATCTTCAGGTAATTTCTGGCTAATTTTAGTACGACGATGAAGAGAAAGGTGATGTCACTTTAAAAACTGGTAAAACCAGGACTTGGAAGCACGAAATTATTGAGAAGCACCTGGGTATTTATTAGCACAGGTTGTTAATAGGATCGTGATTATTTGTATTTTAATAGAACCTGCTGTAACTGTAATTCCCATTTGGCAAAGTTCATTTAACCATCTAACAAGTTCTTCTTTAGCAGCTGGGTAAAATGAAATTCTTCTAGCACCAACGTGTCGGTTGCTTGATATAGTATTAGTATATTTTTTTCATTAAATTTCTATCGTGATACTATAGATTGATTAATACCAAAATGATGTGATGCAGCTAAAACCCCAATTCTTTTTGCTTCTTGAATAATGGCAAGTTTTTCAGATGCTTAATATGAAGTTTTTTGAACATGACTTCTAACTTTAACTGTCTTATTACTAATAACAGTATTCATTTTTTTTTAATTTTTTTTGTTTGTATTTTATTTGTATTTTGTTTGTTCTTTGATTGTTTTTTTTTGTAACTAAACTACTGGTATTTGATGTGAAAGGGTAAGTAAAAAAAGAAAAAAAAATCTTGATTTAGAAAAATAAAGTGGTATATAAAATGGTGTAACACCAATGTATATATGAATAGTGGATTATTAGCAAAGAAAATTAACTTTTAAATAAAAAAAATTAATTAATGGTTCTAAAAGTAAATAACTATATATAATAAAGATAAGTAGTATGTAGATGTTTTAAAGCTAGTTATGTAGAATTTAAACACACAATAGTAAAGTAAAAATGGTTTATTTTACAACTTATGAGAGTACTCATATTCTTCTATAACGGATGATAAAATTTATTATTGTTATAGTACGATAGTTTATGCTTTATTATAAAACTTGTAATAAAGTTAAATTTCATTCATTCTTTATAATCCCAATATTATGTTGATAACAAAGACCAACATTATTTATTCTACTAGTATAATCTATGCTTAAAATATCATTATTTAAAAAAAAATAAAAAATCGTAATTGATTATACTATACTGCAAGTTGATTATTTATATATAAATATTTCAAAAGTTACTGAATTTAAGCAATTCTCTAAAAAAATTTGGCCAAAATAGGTGGTTTAGGGGTTGCTTATTTTCAGAACTTTACAGTAATCTAATAAATTATTCAGATTGTATACTGTTTTTTAGTTAGGATCGATACAGAAGCAAACATTTTATTGATCAAACATTAATAAGTACTATTTATTTCTTACATAGGTAAAAATAAGAGTTATATCTCTTCAATTAGTTGGGGCCCAAAGAGCCTTGGCTAATTATAGTTACCAGGTTATTCCCCTGCAATAGGAAATAAGGGCGTTATTCTTTGTTTGCAAAAAGACATGAAATACAATTTTTATGATGTATACTAGTATTAGAGCCCATTATCATATAACGGGCTAATTGGTATAGAATACAAATATTGCAAAGACCATTATACATATAAAGAGACAATCAGACTAGATATGTTATGCATCATTTTTCAATTCATATCAATTAATAAAATTATTCGACGCATTTAACTTATGTATATATTCAAATTTATGCATTTTCGCATCATTTTTCAATTTATTTCAATTATTAATACCATATTTCATTTTTAAATTAAAAAACAGCATAGGCTATTTTGTAATCAATATAGTTTTGAAAAAGTATTATAACCATTTGATTAAAAATACTCTTCTATATGTGTTTTCCATGAAGTATAATCAAAATTTTATATATGTATACAAAATATTTTCAATATAATTGTTTTAAAAATAGAACGTATCCATATCATTTCGAGTATAGCAAATTTTCGATAGTGGTTTAATTATTATTATTTTTTTTTTATTTATGATTTTGCTATATATATAATATAATTTCATTACATTATTCTATCATGATGATATATTAATAACTATCTATTTTTATCCTATATAACTGTTTTCATGTAGCAAATCACCCCTTATTTTCTATTACAGAACTAATTTAAAGTATAATTAGTTATAGTAAGGGAAGGGAATACCCAATTAGTGCCCTCTGTTGATGCCTGTTACTCAACATCAGACCTAGATTTCTTCAGATTGTACAATAACTAGAAGGGTGAACCCCTTCCACTAGCGAAATCAGTAGCCATTGATCAACTATAGGAAGTTCTTTATTGGATAAATTCTATACCTTTATGGGCAAGTTATACTGCTTCTGAACTACCTCACAAGTAGATTCTTTATCAGATAAATTCTTTATCTTTACAGGCAGATTACACCACTTCTGAATTACTCTGCTCTTATGGAGCTTACTCAGGCACTTAAGACTGCGCTATCTCTCCACTTGGGTCTTGCTAAACAGGCACTGATCTTGCTGAAGTCTCCAGGAATTATCTGACTATAAGGACTTATCATGGGTTTGCACCACCCTTTGTTAGCTTGCATGCCTTCGTATAACTTATACGTTATATAAATACCCTATGGATTCTCTCAATTTGGTTAAATTAGAATATACCGAGTTATAGGACTGAGCCCAACTTTGATAAGTACTGTGCATAACATAGCCCAACCGAGAAGATTGTAGCTATTACACAAGTAAAAATTCAAAGATTCGCTAGCAACAGGATTCGAACTCTAGATGTGCTGCTTGGGGGTGACAACTTGACCACTTCACTAAGTCGCCACACCCTTAGTGGCTTAATTATAATTTGTAGCAATTTTTTTAAAAGAAAATTCAATTCTATTATAGTTAGACTGTTTGAATTTTTATATGAATATTTTAGATTAAAAGTGGTTTAACTGTTATGAACTAAGAGTTTTTATTATTACAAACTTGGCAAGTAGTAGTTTATCTGCAGTAAAGATTCAAACTCTGCTTATTTCTCATTAGTAATAGAAAATTGTAAATTGTAAATCTGTAAGTACTACGAAGAAAAAAAAGTACATAACAGTAAAAGAACTATTTGTATTATGTCATTGCAATACATATTCATTTAATATGCAATTAATCAGTTTTATTATTGTATGCAAATCTTATCAATATTAAGAACTGACCCAAGTCATTTTTCAAATATGGGGCCTTTGCTTTGAAAATCACCTTCTGAAATTTCTGATCGAGTAAATTCGGACAAAATGCACCTGAGTACTGGTTCATGTTCATATATTAATCATCTTTTAACTTATTGATTCAATTTCAATAGTTTATCGAATTACTATTGAATCAATGTAAAAGATGATTAATATATGAACATGAACCGGTACTCAGGTTTATTTTTGTTCGAATTAACCAAATCAGAAATGTCGGAAGGTGATTTTCAAGGCAAAGACCCTATATATAAAAATTTAAATTGCATCTGAGAAAATAACAAGAAATAATAGGGAATAACAAGAAATTCCAGAGAAATAACAATCATTACTTTAGAATTGGTTTTTTTACTGATTAAAGTAGTGATTATAAGTCGAAGAACTCTGCTTAGCTAATTTTCTTCTTAGTTAGTTTTGATATTTCATAATAACTGAATGATATTTACAGCTGTTATTATTATTTCTGGGACACCTTATGAAAAATTAACAAAATGATTGTTCTGCTGATTCAATAAGTTATTAATTTCGGCATGATCAATGTAACGTTTAGGCCGCTTGTAGTTAAAGTTTCGTTTAATATTATTTTTTTTTCATATTCACGGGGGGAAGGGGGAAAAATTAAACAAACATAAAAAATAAATATATAGTATACCGAAAAATTTCAAATGTAATTAAAAAATTCTGATCACTGTGTTGACCATTATACTGACTAATTTGTTACCTCTATTTGTTTAATTTTAGGGGGGAGCTCAGGGATGAAGGGAGAAGCTCAGGGGATAAAGGGGGGAGATAATGTTAAATGAAAGTTTAATTTCAAGTGGCCTTATTATTTGACAGAAATAATCTAAAGTCAGTTATATATGTACGTACGTATATAGGTTTTAAATTCATTACTAATAGATGTGTAAATTGAAACTCACGTAAAACAATAAAATACTACAAGCCTTTACAAGCCTTTAAACAATCACTATCTACGATACAGCAATGAGAATTATTAATTGATAATGACCAGATATCTGGTTATCTATAATACTTTTGAAACATATTCGCCAGAAAATAATCAAAAAAAATTTAAAAAGATTATCAGTTCGAACAATTACTAAATACTTTAGTGTTAGCAGATCTTCAATAAGTCAAGATCTCAAATAATTCTGAAGATATAGATGTGTTGAAAGGCTTTCGCCAGTATAAGAAAAATATCTTTTAAGGCTTTAA